GCGTGTTCTCCAAGTGTTTCTCAAAGACCGCCTTGGCTTTGTCTAAGATTTTCTTTTTGAAACGCCCTGGGAACGGTATCTTGGGTTGATAAGGTGGTGGTGGAACATAGGGCTTCTCAAGCTCGGTTGTCTTTTCCACCTCTTTTCCTTTGTCCTTGATCGGTTCCTTCTCTAAGACCTCTTCTTTATGCGCATCATCCGAGGCTGCCTCCCCCTCTAGTTGCTCATTGGCCTCAATGAGCTTTGTCTTAGGCGTTGGAGTTTGTAATTCCTTACCACTCCTCAATGTGATGGCGTTCACATACTCTTTAGGGTTCGGCTCCGGTTTACCTGGTAAAGCCGGGCCTCTTGATGATGTAGATGCCTGATTTTGCTTAAGCTCCCTGATATCTTGCTGCATTGTCGCGTGCTGGCTCTCAACCCTTGGCTGGCCCTGTAACAGTTGCTGTAATATCCCACAGACATCGTTCCCCATCTGATTCTGACCCGTTCCCTGAATCTGTTGTTGATTACCCATCGGCTGCGGATTGAACCCTGGTGGAAACTTGTGTTGCTGCGGTTGGTTGTTGAAGTTGTTACCCTGAGCTGCTTGATTCTGCTGAGTGTAACCGTGCTGCTGCCCACTGAACTGTTGCTTGGGCTGGAAGTTATTCGGAAAAGGGGTTTTTGGAGCATAGCTTTGGTGTTGTTGAGCAGGGTACACTTGGTCTTGAGGGTTAGCTACATTCGGGTTTCGTAAGAGAGGTTGGGGTGATTGCCGTGGTTGTTAAACCGCTGATACCTCTGCTGATTCCCTATGTAGTTCAGCTCCTCCTGAGTTAGACCATCTTCATTAACATTGTCAAAACTTGGCCCTTGCTCATCAAACTCTCCTACAAAGTGTATTGGCTTTTGAGTCGCCATCAAAACCTTGTCAAGCTTGCTCTGAAGCTCTCTTATATCCTTTTTCATACGCTGTTCATTACTAGATCCCTCTGTACGGTTTGCTCTATCAAAGTCCTCTCCATACGTGTCATTGGACATGGCTAGGTTCTCGACTAGTTCCATTGCCGCATTGATCTCTTTCCCAAGAAAATTTCCATTTGAAGCTGTGTCGAGTTGGTTTCTGATCTTGGGGAGTGCACCTCGGTATAAAGTACTCAAGAGGGATGCCTCTGAGAAGCCGTGGTGTGGGCATTGGTTAGTATAGCTCCTAAACCGTTCCCAAGCCTCACTAAAGCTCTCGTTGTTGTGCTGCGTGAAACTTGAGATCTGATTCCTGAGCTTAGCCGTGCGTGATGTGGAAAAGAACTTTGATAAGAACGCCAGTTTACACTGCTCCCAGGTTTGTATAGAGCCCCTCGGTATATTCTTTTCCCACTGGTGTGCTTTATCACCGAGGCTGAAAGGGAACAAGCGTAGCTTGAAGCTATCTTCGGAGAGCCATTTATCTTGGTTAAGTCGCAAACCCGATCAAATTGATCTAGATGCTCGAGAGGGTCTTCTCCAGCCAGACCGTGGAACTTGGAGTTTTGCACCATATTGAGCAGGGAAGCTTTAACTTCAAAGTTGTTGTTTTGAACTGGTGGAGCTTGAATCCCAGCTCGGTATTGGTGCGCATTAGCTCGGTCATTCTCTCCAACACAGATTGGAGGGTGTTGTCTCTGAACTTGTGGCGGTGGCGGATGAACATGATGGGCTTGTTGCTCATTTCTATTCGCTTGGTGTTGGTTTTGCTGAGCAAGCCGTTCGTTTCTTTGAGCCTGTTGCTGATTAACATAGGCTTGTTGTTCATTTCTTCCTGCCTGCGCCTGATTAGCCTGAGCCTGGTGCTCGGCTGCCTGAGCCTGTTGCTCCATTTGTTGTTGTTCTGCCATTCCAAGTCTGTCAAAGTGCCGTTCTCTCTCGCGAGCTCGCCTTTCTAATCGGTCGATGTTATCGTCGTATGGGAAAAGTGATCCTGTGCTCCGAGACCTGGTATTCATGCACCTGAAAACAAAACAAGAACTTGGAAAGGAGTTAGTAAAACAAAAGAAAGAAAAGCTTGAACTTAAGAACAAACAAGAGACTAATGCTCCTACAAGTTGGCAACGGCGCCAATTGATAACTAAGAGTTTTCAGGCTCTTAGAAGGGTTATCAATCCCCTTGTCAAAGTAGTATAAGGGGTGTCAAACCAAGCTTGTAAACGAGACACTAGCCTATGTCATTTGTTCACTTAAGTCAAGACAAGAAGATAAAAGTTTGGTGACGATGATCAACAGGAAAATGAGCAATCAAATTAAATAAAAGCAGAGATTTAAACTAATCAAGATGCAAACAACAAACAGGTGATTCAGATGATGATAATATGAGATAAGGGAAGAGACTCTAGACAAGATAATCGACTCGGGTGCTTCCAAGCTAAACTAATGGGTTAATGAATTATTTTGTTAAGCGATTTCATTTAACTTTGAACTCAAGGCATGTTAATCTTCTCATGAAAGTATTAAACATCTAAACTGATCCTCCTTCATACCAAAATGTCTTTTGAGAAGCACGAATCAATCAGCAATAAGATTCAGTTCAAATATGTCATTTAAGAGAACAAACTATCACTCTCGCGATGAAAGACTCTTCAACCTTTAACCGAGTGGTTCAGACATTTCTACAAACACTTTTGATGCGAGATATGCCTCAGATCTGAACCTCAAGTGATATGCTTGGATCCAGCCTAGAGATCTCGTCGGTTAAAGAATGAAACATGCAGGACTAGACACCTAAACCCACTAATCTATCTTGAAAGCACCCTAATCTACTTATCTAAAGCCGCTTAAACGACTACTCACTGATCATAACGAGCTCACTAAGTCCTTTGCAAGACGTGTAGCTTGTCATGATAAGGAGTTTAATACTGAATGATAAAAGAAATAAAGAAAGAACAAGATTTTTGATGCAAAAACGAGATATCAGATTAGATTAATCAACTTTCATGAAAGAGGCAAGTTCTTAGAGCTAAAACAGATAAGAGATAAGATGATTAGGTTTTTGGTCCTAAAATGTATTTATAGTAAAGGGAAAGTGTCGCGGGTCAGCCCGGAACAAACCGGGTACTGAACCGCTTCCTTGGGTTGATGGGTGAGTGCCACGGTGTGTCGGAAAGTGAAGCCGAGGTCTTCATGCCGAGGTGTGCACGTGAGTCAGGATCCAGATGAAGATCTCGTGAAGAACACGTCAAGAACATGCATGAACCCTATTCTTTGATCCATCCTCACGTGTGTGTTCTTCAGCCATTCTGTTCTTGATTCTGGGTTCGTGACAAGGACCTCGGGATAGAATTTCGAGGGGTCATGATGTCGAGGTGCTTGGGAGAACACAGTCCGGCATGCACGTTGAGGTCATTACACCGAAGTGTACTTTCAACACTTAGTCGTTTCCAGCTTCAGTTCTTACGTATGCATGCCTCAATCTAATCATGCCAAGGATTTGGCACGAGGTCTATTCCAGAATACTTCCAAGATATGAGCCTCGACTTGAGTGATGCCAAGGTAAAGATACCGAGGCTTGTGAAAACACTTAGCGCGTATCGCAACTCATTTAGGCTTGTATCGACCATGTCACCTTCCGGAAGCAGTAACTTTCAGCACACGACTCCAATTGCTCTGGAACCAGTTCCACAGTCAAGATGACTCACTAAGCTCGAACTTTGGTGAAGGGACCGTTGGAGCTTGGGAAGTGGAAGGCTTCCTGGATTTCACATCTTTGCACCGCATCGGATTCACCGGAAAATAAGCTTTTGAACCAATGTGAACCCCGGAGACCTTATCTTTTGAACCACTGCTCCGAACTGAGGGATTCCAACTGTTCTGAGAAGGTACTTCATAGATCTCAAACTTTGATGAAGACAGGGCAGGCTAGTTTGGTCCGGAAAGGCTCCGTCCGCCGTGATCTTTGGAATCCGCCGTTCGGTTCTCGGATGCGCGTAATGCTGGTGCATCTTCCGGAAGCTGTATCTTTCTCCTAACTGGTCCGAATTGGATGATTCTAACTGCTCTGAAATCTTTGCTTGATTCTCTCCAACTTTGATGAAGACTCCGCCAACTGATTCGGACCGGAAGGTTCCCCGGATTGCTGATCTCTGAATTGCGCGGGCAAGGACAACTTTTGGTCGTAAAAACCTTCCCGCGGTAAGGAAAATGGCCGAGGGCTGTGTACCGCGGTAAGCTTTTTGGTCGTAAAAATCCTTGCCTCGGTCAAAACTTGTCCCGTGGTATTTTTACACTCGATACTCGATTCTGGCCGATCGGTAAGGTTTTTGGTCGGTAATGAGCGTTCGGTAAACTTTTTGACCGAGGTTTCTGTCCAGCCGGTACGTGTTTTGGCCGAGAAATTCCTCTAAGTGGTTTTCACCATTTTTGACCCTTTTCTTCACCGTTTTCTTTTCTGTTCCTCTTCTTAGGCTCCAATTGGTCTCCAAAGCTCCTGATAAAGATTTCAAAACATGCAAAAACTCTTTGGGACCTAATGCAAGCCCTAAGTCCTATTTTGACGCCTAAAGACTAAATTTACATGAGAAAACACATGATGAGGACTCTATAATGCAATCTAAATGATGTAAAATATAGACATATCAGTTAACGACGAGGCGATTCAAGAGAGAAAGAGTCAATCCGAGCCGTTCCGTTAACTTGGGTACCCTGACTGTTGGTCTTCCGAGAGAAAATTCCTGATCTTTCGGCGCGTGCCAACGACGCAGTCCGGTATAGCCAGTTCACCGCGGATCCCACGCGCTGTTGGACGGCTACCCGAGGTTTACGCGGAATTCACGCGCTTTGTTTTTTCTATAAATAGGTGAGCTCCTTCACTCTTCCTCATTATTTCCAGACTCACTCGTTTTCACTAAAGGTAGCTCTCCCTTCTCTCTTCTTTCTCTCTCTAGTTTATTTATTTTCCGGCTAGGGTTTCCGAGGTCTCCGCCGTCCTAGATCTTTTTCTGGCAAAGGTTCGCCGAGTCCTTCTGTAATTCTTGTATAACTTGTAAATCATGTCGAGCCGCTCCGACGATTCGTTGGACTCGCTTTTTCATTACGAGCCGAGCCGCGTAGATGCCAAAGCGAGAAGTACAACAGGATCCTCCGAGGCGTCTGTTTCGCCGAACCCTTCCAAACGTTCATCTGACGAGGCGTCGAATGACGCGAATCAATCAAACGAGGGTTCTGCAGATGACGAGCCGTTGGCTTCGACGAGCCGTCCCCAGGACCCGGTTTCTGATGAAGGTGTTAATCGCGCCATAGTAAAAGTCGAGGAGGAAGCATTTCCCTTTGACCTACTCGAGGTGAAGTACGAGTTGGAACGTCTCATGGCGTCCCGAGGCGCTTCCACATCTGGGCGAGGACCACGAGTTAAAAGACAAAAGCCTGATCCGCCTGGCTCTACGCTTTCTTCCCTTGAGTCGCTCGAGGCGTTGAGGCATCGCTTCGGGATATCCGAGGCGGTGGAGTTTGTCGTTCCCGAGAAGAGCGACCGAGCCGACAAGCCTCCGGAGAATCACTTCACTCTGTACGAGGCGTTCTTCGAGCTTTGCTTTCTCTGGTTCCCGATCCCCGGAGTGATCCTCGAATACCTTTGGAAACACGGGATCTCGATTGGGCAGATTATGCCGAGGGGATTACGGCATATGATCGGCATTTTAGTACGAAGCTTGGAATGCTGTCTTGACATTGAGCTGAATCACCTGCTGAACTTGCTGGAAATCAGAAAAGCTCCGAAAGGAAATAGGTTCTATATTTCCAACAAGCCGAAGCGACGGATTATTGGCGGTTTTCCCAACAAGGATCAGTTTTGGACTGAACGCTTCTTCTACGTCTTGGTGAACGAGGCGTCGGTCGGCGAAGATTACGTTCACCGAACCAAGACTGCTTGGGGACCACTTGGTAGCCGACCCGAAGCTTTGCCTCGGCTCGGAGATTCAGTTGATATTATCTTCCTTTTCTGAAACTTTTGCTTTTTTGCTTTGTTTTGCAGTTCGGTGCTATCTTCCCCCGATTCCCGACGACCTCTTTACTGTTCGAGACTCTCTTTCGGCGTGGAAGGTTAATTGGAGAAAAAACTTCACCCTCGAAAGAGTAGAAAAAGCGCGAGCCATCCTTGCCGGAGTCCCCGTCAGTTCTTCGTCCTCAAGTTCTTCGAGAGATACCCGGGGGAAGATGGTGGTGATCGCCCTTAGAGAAAGGAAGAGGCGCGAGGAAGAGGAAGCCGCTAGACGACTCTGCCGAGTTGGCTCGCGCGCAAACCGAGGCGGTTCCGGCGCAAGCCGAGGCGGTCCCAGCGCAAACCGAGGCCGTCCTTCAACCCGACCCTCCGAGCCGAGAAGGGGATGTGATGATCCGAGCCGCAGAAGGCGACACTGCCGAGGCGGCTGAGAAAGATGTAGTGCCCGAGGTGGAACCGGGCAAAATTATCCCCGAGGTGTCCGGGGACGGCTCGGCGGCGCGGAGTAAGACTCCTTCGCAATCCGCCATCCTGGCCCTCCCGAAGTCGACAAGGCCACCGTATTCGGTCGTCCAGAAGCATGACTCTAGCCGAAAACGTTCGGCTACTGACAAGGGGAAAGGCGTCACCGTCTAGAAGGACGAGCCGTCCAAGAAGAGACGGAAACCGATGCCCGGGGACCCCGCCGCGCGTAAATTGGTTGTTGACGACCCCGACGCTTCTGCCGTCATGTTCTCGCGTGTAAATAACGCAAACACGCGTCTTCCTCCTCCGGAGAAGCTGACGAGGCCGAGGTCATACGTGGCGCAGCGTGGTACCAAGGTACGTTTCTATTCGCTTTCCTTTATTTTCGTAAACTTTTGCTAAGTGTTTAACGCGAGTTTGTTCTTTGCAGTTTGTCGCGGCTATTAACGACCTGATGGCCGAGTATGAGGCGGACCTGTCTAAGGTCGAACGTCGCTTGGACAAGGCCCGAAATGAGACCGCGGCATCAAAGGTGAAGCTGGAAGAGGCGCAAAACGAAGCCGCGGCAGCGAAGGGGAAACTCACCGAGGCGATGACCCGAGTGTCGAGGTTGGAAGAGGAGAAGATAGTTCTCCGAGCAGACGTCAACAAAGTTTCCGCCTCGGTGATTCGCCTGGAGGAAGCAAGGAGAGCCAAAAGCGCCGAGGTGGCGTTGCTTAAAAGGCGTATCGAGGCCAAGGACGTGCTGTTCGAAGCCAAGGTCAAACGCGCGAAGAAGGAGGCGAGGCGTGAGCTGACGGCGAAGTTTCAGGAACGCCTTGCCAAGGTGGACGAGGGTTTGGTCAAGTTCGAGAAGGCCAAAAATGATGAGAACGATCTGGGACAGATCAAGGGCAATCTTGCGATGATTGCCGACCTGAAGAAGCCGGACGCCCCGACGCTTGATGACGAGGAGGCAAAGCTGAAAAGCTGGGAGAGTGAGTATGCCGACGACGAGGCGTACGAGCGTATTGCTTCCGAGATTCGGGGCGAACTGTATTACTCTCCCGTATCGCCGGACTCGGTCGACACCACCCTCGGCAACGAGCCGTTCGAAGAAACAGCGGCCAATTTAGGCGTTGTGGACCCGAATGGCTCGAACGCGGGTACGCCGATTCCCTCGAACCTTCTCGCCAATCGTGAAACGCAGTCCGCAGCGTGAGTTTTGGCTCACAAATTTTTCTTGCTTGCTTCTGTACTTATGATTTTATCCGCTCTCTTTTGAACTTTTATGTGTTATGTGCCTAGACGGCTTTATCCACCCGACTCTTTATTTTCGCTTAATGAATATATTTTCCTTAGCCGTTTTCGGACTTACTTGTCCATTAATCCGTAAAAATGTTTACGAAAAATTGTCAAGGACGAAGGCTGTTATGTTGAGAGCGATTTTGATTTCTTCCTTAACTGTATTTTCGAAGTTGATTGCTCGAGTGAGTATCTTCGGGCTATGTGCGATGTTGTCCTTGGTAAAGTCGTTTGAAGGAGGGAAGTCTTCGGTGTTGATCATCATGATTTGATTTTCATCTTTCTTTTCCGAATATTGGACTATAAAGTCGTATCGCCCGTTACCTTCACTGAGAGGACCGACGGTTGGATCTCCTTCTAGATATCTTTTGTAGAGTGGATCCTTTTTCTTTCTTCTCCTTGTGCGAATCTCGTCATCAGATTCGTAGTTGGCTTCTTCACATGCTGAGCAGGAACAGATATCGAAATATTGATGTCCATCTTCATCTTTGAAAGGATATAGTACCGATCCGTTTTGTCCAAAAGAGATTGGTTTAGGATTTTTTTCTTTTGCTGGACTATAGAATTCGCTTTCGTCAATTTGGATAGCAAATTGAGTAAACAGTTGTTTGCGGAATGAGGATGATCTCGGTTTTTCGAACTTGATTTCGGTTGTACCATCATTTCGTGAATGAAAGCTGACTTCAGAGGATTGAATTGGTGTTTGAACCGCTTGATGCAGCTTCTCGTAGCTGGTGATCCATGATTCTGGTAGTCGGCGGAGCAGCTCTTCGCGAGATATTTGACGAGGAATCTGGATGGAGTTTGGTGCTTGAGATGCTGAAGTGACTTCTAGGTAAAGTGCTTCATCAGAAGAGGGTAGTACAAGATCTAAGGCATGATCTTGGATTCGGTAGACTATCTGATGATGAAGGGTCGCCACGACACTTTTCTCTTGCATAGGAGCTCCGGTGAGCTGAAGTTGGACCTTGAGTGTTTTCAGAAGATTTGGATCTTGTAGCGAGACATTAAAGTTTGGAAACAGTGTCACGAATACTGTTCCGGCGTTTAATGTTGTGTGGACTGTTCCGATGCAAGCTTGTTGGTAGGATTTCAGTCTTGAATCGACCAAGGCGATTCTTGCTACAACAGGTAGACCTTTTCGAGCATGTAAGGTCAAACCGATCCGGACTACACCAAAGTGTAGGTGAGTATATCCTTGTTGTTGCCATAACCTAGGAAGGTTCTCCGGTATGTTGAGCGAGATGAATTGTTCTTCTTCGGTTGCTGGGACTTGACAGGATGAGAATTTGCTGGACTGTACATATTCCATGACTTTTCGATTGGAAGATGGCTTGATGAGTTCTCGAACACCTTTAACCGAGAAAGCACTAGGCTTTTTGGCAAAGTATTCATATGGATTAACAAGAGGGAGTGTGGTTTCGGGTAGCTGATCTCCAGGGACAGACGAGGGTCAGTTCCAAGTAAAGGGAGCTTAACGGGCACTTCCGGCCTCTGAGTGCTCAACCACTGTTAGGAATTCTCAACCCTCGACTGTCTTTTGACTGTCGTATTGACAGACCACAAGACTTGACCGTCGTATTGACAGACCACTAGACTCAACTAGAGAAGAGGAGCAGATCGCAACTCATGAATGAAAGAAAGAAGCCAAGGCTTATGAAGATGTCGAGAAGTCTGGAAAACTAGAGAGTATTTAAAAACTCATTCTAGAGAGAGAATTCTAGAGAGAGGTTTTATTAGAAATTCTGAGGTGATTTCTTACAAGGGGGTGCACACATATTTATAGGTGGGAGATAGTGCGCGCTGACATAAGTGCTTACATCATTCCCTTGCGATTACATTGTCACTTACATCACTTACTATTTATGCGATTACATCATCGCTTACATCACACTCACATCATTATTTATTTTACATGGTTTTAAGCACACTCATAATTAAACATAATTAAGTACCTTTAAGATAAGTACTTTAGTGGTCGATCTCGAACTCGATGATATGTTTGTCGCAGCATCCGTAGTATTCTCCTGGGCACTCATATCCTGGTGTAGGCTCTTCGTAGTCAGTCTGTGACTCTTCATTGATTTCAATGTTGAACATTTTTCCAAGTTCATCGATATTCATCGCGTCCTCCGGTAGCTGAGCGTCCTGGAAATATTCTGGTGGACAGTCATGGGACAGAGGTTCCTTCTCATTGTTGATTTCCTTAGTAACTGGTATATCTTCTATGTTTTGTTTAGACATGGAAAACATAACGTCTTCGTCTAGACTCATCTGGTAATCGATCGGATAGTACGACCAATTTGGAATGAAAGGAATTGGGAAGGTCTGTCTGCCATTGTTGAGACGGAATGCATGTGTTTGAAAGTCTTCGTAGGCTCTAACGTCGCTGAGGTTGAAATCTGGACGAACTCCTCTCTGATAGTCATTGTGATGGATAAGAGTGGGTAATGCATGAATTTTGCTGGATTTGGAGTTGATCTGAACAGGACGATGGAAGAAGTAGATTGTGTGAGGATTGAAGAACGGATTGAGACCTCCTTGTCTCTTTAGTTTCTTGAATGCTAGGCTTGTTGCTTTGGCCGATTTTCTTAGTTTTCTGCTCCAAACAATCAGTGGTGCGAACCATGCTAAGAATGTGGAGAAGCAATCTCTTCGGTTTTGTACAGCGTTGACGTACTGGTAAAGCCATTGGATATCAAAGGTGATTCCGATGGTGTAGACTGAGCAGAGGTACCAGAGGAAACACAGAACTTCTTCCGGCATTGCTGTATTCTCGATCCTGTAGAGATGTGTGAACGGGTGATCAGGGTGAATACCCATTGGTGCAATGAAATGGCAGTTGATTCCGTATTTGGACAGGATGATGGACTGGTATTTGAAAATTCTGTGTTGAAGATGCTCATGCAGAGTCCTCTTGTCGACAAGCTGGTGAGCGTCGAGAGACATGTTTGCGTCGAAGTCATAGTATTGATTTTCCGAACTTGAGGAAGTTGAGGCGTTTGCCATCATATGAACTTCTTTAGGAGGGTTTCTACTGAGCATGTCAGCAAGAGTGTTCTTCGCACCCTTTAAATAGAAGGATTCGAAGTCCTACTTCGAAAACCATTCGCTCCAGCGCAATAATTGTTGATGTGGGACCATCTTCTGCTAGAATTGTAACATCTTTGGAAAAGAAGACATATCCATTTCGATGCGAAATTTATGTCCTATCAGATGAAACTCGAATTTCTCGATAGCCTTTTTGACCGCTAGGATTTCTTTGAATGTAGAGTGATAATGCATCTCAGAATTTTTAAAGCGTCCGCTCTTGTATCCACAGATTTGACGTTTACCATTTATTTCTTCGAATAAAATGGCTCCCCAATATTTGTCACTTGCGTCAGTCTGCAGTATTCGTAGGCCTGTAGAGGGAATCTTTAAAGGTGGTAGCTTCTGTATCTCCTTTTTTAGGCTTTTGACTGCTTCGGTTTGTTTGGGTAGCCCACGTGGGTGGATTCTTTGTCAACATCTTCTGGAGTGGTCTAGTCATTTGCGAAAGTTGCGGAATAAAGTCGCTGATGTAATTAATTACCCCAAGGAATTGTTGGATTTGTCTCCGCGTGAGATTTTCGTCGGGAAAATCGAGGAGTGCTGTAGCTAAATGGGCTTGCGGTGTGAATTTTCCTTCTGTGATTTGCATTCCAAGGAAGTCGATGTTGGGCTGGGCAATCATCATCTTTCGGGCCGAGAGCATTATTCCATATTCTTCAACTATGCCTTGAAATTGTCGGAGAGACCGAATATGATCTTCCTCGCTTGTTGAGAATAACAGAATGTCGTCGATGTATATTAAAGCCGTGTGGAGAAGAGGCTTTTATATACGAAGCATTGCTTGCTGAAATAGC